TAGAAACTTGACGAAGAGTGAAGGTCCGGTGTCGGGTAGAAGTCCGGCGTCTGTTGGTGGACGAGGAGAACTCCGGCATCATTTTGGCGGAGTTTCGGCGTCAGGAGGGAACTCTGTCAATAATTGGGAAGAACTTCAGCATCATGTGGAAGTTGGACAGAATTCCGACGTTCTCCCGAATATCACGCAGAATCCCGACGTGTTCGGGCGGCGGGAAGAACTCCGGTGGTGGTCGAGGAGGAGAGGATTCTCCTTTTCCCCTTTTTCTTCTTCTTTCCTTCTTCTTCTCTCTCTTCACTTGAGTCCCTCTTGTGAAGAATGAGGGCTCTATTTATAGTTTTTCTGGAGTGACATGGCTTGTAAATATGTGTGAGATCAGGGGCGAACAAGGAGTGGTTGAATGGACAGCTGATATTGAATCCTTTGATTATACACCATTCGTCAGCCATTTGAAGGCCTTAGTGATGTCAGAATCCGGCGATCCTAGGCTCGTTGGATTCGTCTCGTCAAGCCATTCGATTCAATTATAAGCTTGCCAAAATCGGAGACCGTTTGGTAACTCAAATTGTGGTTCGAACCTTTCAATAGCGCTTTAGGTCCTTGATTTGGACTCATTTGGGCTCGGATTGAGTCAAATTTGGTCTCGTTGGGTTCGTATTTCCGAGACGCTCAGTTTGATTATTGTTGTGTCCTGGAGTATTCGCGGTGGTAGAGAAATATTTAGTTTAACATCTTAGCATTGTACGAAGATCCAGCACATAAGCAGATAAGTGAGAGAGTGTAGCATTCATAAGAGACACCAGAGTTTTTACGTGGAAAACCCCTAAAAAGGGGGAAAAAAAACACGGGGCCTGGCCCAGTTTGAATGAATCCACTAGTATTTGTAGTCTATTACAAATGAGGCACTTCCTTGGGAGAAGGCCTTGGATTGATGTAGCAAAGGTGCATCATATAGATTGCATTACATTGTAGGAATTACATATACATGTTTGTTTGGTCAGAAGGATCGTAGTCGACAGGAGACCGGGGTCAAAAAGACCGTTGTCTGGTGATGGAGGTCGGAGTGACCATAGTAGCTGACGGAGGTCGAAAGGACCGTAGTCGGCAGGAGACCGGGGTCAGAAAGACCGTTGTCTGGTGATGGAGGTCGCAGTGACCATAGTAGGCGACGGAGGTCGAAAGGACCGTAGTCGGCAGGAGACCGGGGTCAGAAAGACTGTTGTCTGTTGATGGAGGTCGGATGGACCGTAGTAGGCGACGTAGACCTGAAAGACCGTAGTCGGTAGGAGACCAGGGTCTGGAAGACCGTTGTCTGGTGATGGAGGTCGGACGGACCGTAGTAGGCGATAGAGGTCAGAAGGACCGTAGTCGGCAGGAGACCGGGGTCAGAAAGACCGTTATTTGTTGATGGAGGTCGGACGGACCGTAGTAGGCGACATAGACCTGAAAGACCGTATTCGATAGGAGACCAGGGTCTGGAAGACCGTTATCTGGTGATGGAGGTCCGACGGACCGTAGTAGGCGACAGAGATTAGAAGGACCGTTGTAGTAGGGCGGTACTTTGGTAGAACTCTGGACGTCAGGTAGTGGCCCAGCAGAAGTCCAGGCCTTAGGTGGTGTTCCGACAAAGCAACGACGTCAAGTGGTAGTCTAGCGGAGGAGAGGGCTTTTGGCGAAGATGAGGGCCTCTGGCGAAGGTGAGGGCCTCAGGTGAAGGTGAAGGCCTCAGGTGTTGGTGAGGGCCTTTGATGAATGTGAAGGCCTCATGTGATGGTGAGGGCCTTTGACAAATGTGAAGGCCTCATGTGATGTTCTGGTGGAGCATACGGCCTTTGATGATAATCTGACGAAGACAAGGGCCTCTGGCAAAGGTAAGGGCCTTTGGCGAGGGTGAAGGCCGTTGGTAAAAGTGAGGGCGTCTGGCGAAGGTTAAGGCCTCTAACGAAGGTGAGGGCCTCAGATGAAGACGTCAGGCCTGAAAGTCCGGCCTTGAGCAGAAT